CATCAAGTCACGTCACATGTTAAAGCCCCTTGATTTTGGGAAAGTCGCTATCCACTGTACTCGCCGCCGCGCGCCTAACCTCCTCTCACCCTCCTTGCCCCCCCCCTCGCATCCTCCCGGTCTCCAACACTTTTTCTGCACAATGATTGGTCTCCTTCGTGGTTGCCCTTGTAGACGAATGAATCTTGCGCTTTGCTTGTATTTTTATTTTTCGCTCGCACCATTTTTCACCGACACTCTGCGTAACAAACTTAGCGCGCGCTTTATTTTCTGCGCTTTGTGCGGGCGCTAAGCAGTGCTGTTGCCCCTATGACTGCAACAACCGCAGTGAAAATAGTTACGCACTTATGATACCCTAAGATAAACGGGATGGCTTGTGCAAGCAGCAGTGGCTGCTCAAAAACTTCATTCTAACAAAGAACAGTGTGCTTTGCAAGGTAAGGCACCTTTCTTATGGCTTGTATCAAAGCATCGCCGAATGCTGCATCTGAAATGTTGTTTCGGCCTGCTGATCGACATACATGCATTTAGGGGCGAATTTCCTTACGCATTGGGTCGTATGTCCCATGCTGTCGTAGCCGTCCAGTTGCATTGCATTGGATGTCAATAAAAATGGTGTCACAGCATATCCACGAAGTGAATGATGATGAGTGGGACGAAGCGTCCATCAGTCCGTCTATGCTTCCGTGCGTCCGTCCACACGCTTCACCACTCATCATTCAACTCGTGGATATGCTGCGATATTTTTCTCAGCTATTCGTGCGTAGCTTCAGAGTGGAGTTGTCATCTTCATTTGTCATCTTCATTTGTTACAAACAAAAAGAAAGTTGAATCGTCTCACATTTTCATATAAAATTATGTCAAGAAAAGTTGCCTTAAATGTACCTTGTTGCGTTCAGCCAGTCACTCCTAGGACTGCTGCAAACATGATCGATTCTTGGCACCCATATTTGCACGAACTAATGCTTACAAATACAGTTATTTTCACAGAACAGTGGATGAATGCAATTCACTGCGTCATGAGATTTTTTTGGCTAGCAATTTTGCTATGCTACTGGAACGTTATCTACTTGGTGATTAGAATGTTCAAAAGCATTATAAATTTTGTTGCCGTTTCACAGACATGTGACCTCTGTTAGCGTATGGATACGTTTTTTTTTTTTTTGCTGTTACGAATCACTTGATCGTTCTTATGCCCCTCCTGCCTGGACCAAAATGCTGGTTTTCATTAGGTCTAAATAAATAAAAATATTCAGCTCATATTTCTACACCTCGCACGCACCTCAGCAATAGTTGAAAATACAGAACTAAAGTCTGATTTCGCTGGGAACAATTACATGTGACGACACACCTTCTTGATCGCGCTTTTTGTGACTGTTAGGATTCGTTTACCGAGAACGTTTGTTGGAGAAAATAAATGCGTGGATGAATAGAGATGACACTAATTGGCACTCATTTTCATAAGGGTATTCAATTTGTTATTTGTTTTTTGGAGGAGGGAATTAACAGACAAAAATCATGAAAGAGATGCGGTCCATCGAAAGAGATAAAGAAATACAGAGGTGCCACAAAAAAAGCTATAGCACGGTGATAGCGAGTTAGCCATTTTCTAGGAGACCGTGGCCGCAATCGTTTCGGTCACGCCTGCATTAGCATGTCTTCCATTCCCCAATAAAAAAAACTTATTTTTTATACCAGTGTCCCATGGGTACCTGAACGAATCAGTCAGTCCGGATAGAATTTTTTGGTAGCCTGGAGGCACAGATTACGATGATAATCCTGGTGCAGAGTTTCTCCTTTCACAAGTAACCGAATCGCTGGTTTCTTTCACAAAAACGTGAAAACACAGTTCTAATGAATCATTTTCTTATGTTTCTGATATTGTGGTAGGTAAGCCACTGTTGGCAACACTTAATCGTACTGACCTTGCTTAAAGGCCTTCAGTTTAGAAACCACTGCGCAAAGCTACTTTCACGCCGAGACGATAAACACATGGCTAAATGATCCACCATCCGTGAAGTCATTGCAATATGTGACGCTGTAAGTACCAGTGTCGTATACTAGCGTACAAGCACGAACAAAAAAAATACGAACACAGGCGGACATGCCACAAGCGGAACTACATCAGATTCAAACGTACAGCATGTTATCATACGGCAGAAAAACATCCAGATCATATAACTCCTCAAAAACTTTTATTTAATTAGCATGCCCCACTTATACGACCTTTAGAAGAAGCTTATCCTTTAATAAACGTTTGCCTCAGTGTTCTTAATTTTATTATCACCATTCAAAAAAACTTCAGCACTACTCTGGCGCGCAAGCTGCCGGAAATGAACCACCTCTATTGAATTCTGCCGCCGGCAAAGCATGGCACAACCGGGCGAGGATCGAGGAAGAAACATGTGCGTGAAGGAGTGTGTTACTTTCCCAAGATCAAGGGGCTTTATCACACAAGAGACATGAGCGCTATCTGGCAGTTATCTTCGAAAACTAAGCGGGCGCACAGGGTGCGCGCCCATCTCTGAGGTGATGTGTAGAACGCAAAGCGACGGGTAGATGCCACCACCGTGTGGTCTTAGCAAAGCGTTGGAAACACTTGCCTTTTCGTGCAAGTGTTGCATGGTCAGCGCAACGTAATAACTGCTACGGTCCCTAGAATTACTTATGCATGCCTTTTCTAGTAAAAAGACACACAGAATATTGATGTGTTTTTATGGTGCCTCAGATATCTGCAATAATTGCTTTTTAATTGACAATCGCACATGCAAGAACGCTAAATCTTGAGCAATATTAGTGGGCAATGTGGACGGGGTCAGCCGTTTGGAGTATCATTTCGTGTAGTTAAGGGCATCGTTAAAGGCAGACAAACAGACAAATGTACAGACAGACAGAGCAAAACTTTTGCGTCGAAGGTCCTCAGGACTATTGGCGAAAATTATTTAACAAAACATGCGTAGTTTATGTATTTGTTGCTTGAAGAGATTAATAAATCACTCGATAAATAATGAGACGCAATAAGGAAATGTGAGCTTTTCTCTTTTTTCCCCTGTGAATTGCATCGAGATGCGGGGATAATGTGCCGGCGTTTCGCATGCGTTCGTGTCCACGGTCAGCCCTTCGAGCCGACGACAGCCGTGAAACGCTCCTACGCATTTTCGCACTCATGTCTAAGCCAGCGTTTCCGATTTATCCCGCAGAAACAGGCAGTAGACCATGACACGAAACAAGGCTGCATGGTCAAAAAAGAAAAAAAACAGCACTTTCGTGCACAGGGGTTGGCTTGTTCGGGCACGTCATGTGCAGGTGACCTCTTGGTCGGATGCCTGAGAGGGTAGGGAAAAGGTTTGGCTTGCTAAGGCTACACGGAGGAGTGACAAGGGTTTCAAGCTCGCCTCGCGCCGCTTAAAAAAAAAAAAGTTTTCTCAGCTCGTAATGAACGAATTCAAAAAATTTTTGTGGCAAAACGTTTCTCATCAGACACCCAACAACTTCCTCAGTCTAACTAAAATTTGGTATGGGGCATGGTGAGTGGCCCTTTAAGGTCCTTATACCGGCTATGATGCGTGCGAGAGAGCCTCTTTCCCTTTTGCAAAAAGAGCACAGCGTATCGTGCTCAGCTGGATACATTCGGTGTAACAGGATGCGCTAGCGATCCCGCCTGCATACGCCGCAGGATCGTTTGCTGTTGCCTGGTTAGTTGCGGGTGCAGTTCGGCAAGTCTGCGCCTTGCTTCTTTGTACATCTGAGCTCGTCAAGGGATGTGGTAGCTCTGCCAGCTCGACCTCAGCCCAGATACAGTTCTCGGGCATATGCCTGATAATCTCTTTTTCTGGTATTAAGAGAGAACTGATGTTAGCTTTTGGTAATCAAGCGTTTTTGTAAATTTGCATAATGACTGATAAATGCATCAGAATAATCCCATGCGAAACTGTCCAGTTCATCCCTTAGCCCCACTGCGAATATTGACAGGTGAAAATATGTTGAACAACATCTGTAATCGTCAATCTTGACAGAAAGGACAGCCATATTAACACAAAATGTGGTTGATTCATGCAGTGAAGTAAGCTTTACAGGAAAAGACTACAGTGCTTTGAAGGCTCATAAGAGGTTGCAATGAGGTATGCACAACTTTCCTCTCCACAACTTGAGAAGCGATACCCTGACACTTGCTTCGTCCATTTCATCCCAAAATGCCAGTTGACTCAATCACGAGTGGTGTCTTCATGAGACAGTGTTTTCCTACTTTTTGAAAACACTCACGAGTCAGTGGGACAAATGTTCCACTTTTAGTACTGCCTTGATTTTGATGCAATTTATTTCATACTACTATACTGTTCTAAATTTTTTTTGTAGTTCATATTAATATACCACAACCAATTTTTATATCACCCTATCGAAAATATAGGAGAACCTACAAAGGGTTCAGAATACGCATACTTTCATTTACAATGTCATCAGTGTCATGTCTGCTATCATCAGAGCAAACATAACCTTTAGCTGCCACATTTGTAGTGACATGACACAGTTATCACGAGCAATGATGCATACTGGTCATACTAAAAGTTTTAATATCTCCTTTCGATCAGTGAGCCCTGCACCTCCGAAATATGGGAAGATTTGTGTCCACTAGTGAAAAGGGTCAGTGTTCCCACAAAGTTACATGCACCGTAAACTAATGAATGAGGTAAAATAGGCTACTTACATTTCCTTTACTCTAGGTTTCAAAAGTGTGAAAGAAGAACAAAGATGTTGGAATCAAATGCACACCTTTCATTTGGAAGGCAGATGGTACAACTCGGGTCAAATTCAACACGGAAATTTCCTAGAAGACAACTTGGCTTGTTGAAAGGTGAAAGTTCAATCTGTGTCATACCATTCATGTTTCTGCTTGTTGAAGTAAATATCGTCAGCTTACTTTCATTCAAGAGATTTCGTGCAAGAGGAAATCACTGAGTATTACTCACTAAAGGCCATTTTCAGAACACACATACAATAGGCAAGTTTATGCTGTCTACTTTATTGAATACAGTGCACAGACACATATACAGAAAATAATATTTCAAGTATACCCACACTGCCTTATGCCACCTAATACAAACAAAACTTGTTCTATTCTCGTTTAGATGTTGCACAGACACATGCTGGATAGTAAATACGAGTATGTCTAAGATAAAGAGTAAAAATGTATCACCTGGTTGATATAAATGTCCGAAATACAAACCAGTAGTGGGAAGATTTTGATATTGCAACAGAACAGCCACAGCAGACGGGGCACAAGGAACACAAATGGAATACTACACATTCCTTGTATCTGGACAGTAACAAATATGAGCGTATAATTACCATCTGAAAGGACACTTAATATGAAAAGTACAAACAACAAATGTGGCACGTAAAAGAAACGATACACACAAAACGAAGCTCACACTGCTTCAAGCAGCAGAGTTCAAATTGGCACAGCATAGACTGCACAGAACAGGAATAAAAAATATGAGAGGGAACTCAAATGATTACTTAAAAATGAATACAAGAAAGAAAGGCAAACAGGAGGCTGCCACCAACCATCATTATGGAGATCCCATAAATATGCCACTATTAAAATTTGGGACCTTGGTTAAAATAGTGGCCTTAATGCTTGACATCGCTGGCATGCTCCATCATCTTCGTCTCTGCAAGGTGCCTCCCGAACCAACAGCATTAAGAGCAAAGATTCTCCGCAAAAATTGTCCCCCTTGTACACCACTCTTAGAGGGATCAAAATCCATGCTTGCCCCAAATGTATGGTTCAAGGGAAAAGCACACACTAGCTGCTCCAGAAAAGCAGTAAAAAAGATTAAAAAGGAAGGATGAGGGGGGTGGGAGGAGCCATATTCGAGCCTTCGGCCAACAGCTCCTGGAATTTTATAGATCAGTGTCATACCATGCAGCTAGCTGGCCACTGCTGTCTTGCTGAGCTGGTGCAGGAAGGGAAGGGTCAAGAGGGTCAAAATTAAGGTCTCCCGGGGCATCAAGGTCCATGCCTGTGTCCATCGGGGTGTAATTATGTCCACCCTGTGATGGCCCCAAGTCAAGTCCTTGCATGGAATCTATGGGGACTTGGGTGTCATAACCTGCACATATTTGAATACAGAACAGTTAAGCATGGCACGTAGTCAATAGCTGCAAGCCACACACAATAGTAGTGAAATCCGCTTATACAAATATTACAAAGCCAGCCACTTGGGCATTACCATCTCAAAGAAACATAAACGTATCATCACAATGTGTCACACATTAAGAAATGGCGTCTTCTGAGTGAACTACCATCTCGATTCCAATTTTATCAGATTCCAACATCGAAAAAGTACCATCACTGAAATATAAAAGGAACAATATGGGGAGAAAGTAACTCGTGTAACAGGAGAAATGCTGTTTGGAGAAGAATTGGAGCAAAAAGAATTTTGCGATCACTTGGAGGAATAGACGAGTACCTGAATGTCTTCGTAAGATGCGAGGTCCGCGTAAAGCTGCATTGTATAACCAAGGTTTTTAATACATTATTCCTATAGGGATTTCGCCGGGACCTAACCGATTCATCATAAAATGCAGGCCGCCACGAAACCGGGTGACGTATAATCGAAGTTCCACTGTATCTCATAAGTTATGTTACAATTTTCCCCATTCCACTTTTTTGTCCTTGGCTACCATCCTATACCTTTAACAAACCACGGCATATGCGCCTATTCATTACATGAACTGCCAAGCTCTATTTTTCTCCCTCCTAAGAGGTAAACAAACAGTAGCTATTTTGGCACTACTACAGTCAAATCCGAATAGTGAACATCAGATTAAGGACCACACGATACCCCTCCAAATGTGCATTCATTAACTGAAAAAAATATTTAACTCTGAATACGGAATGTTTCAGAATAACGTACCAAATTTCAGCACCCCTGTATCTCAACAGCACTGCAATATAATGAATGGTGAATTTGGAAAACTTTCTCGTGGCGGTGTAATCATTGCAAAGCTCTGTAAGTGCCACACTTATGATCATAATGCCCGCTTATTTTTCTATGCAATCGACTGTAAAGCAAGAATCTCATCACAGTCAAGCCCGAACGTATCGAATGCAAAAGGGATATACAGTGAAATCCCGTTATAACGAACCTCAGATTAACGATTTTTTTAGATTAACGAATATTTCGGAAATCCCCTTCCAAATGTCCATTGGTTCAATGTAAAAATATTTCACTACTACGAATTTCAGAATAACGTATCAAATTTTATCACCCTGGTACCTTAAGAGCACTTCAAAATAACTAATTTCTAGCCTAAAAATTACGTGCAGCGGTCTAAATGCCCAGCGCCATATGTGGCACTATCATCATCATCAGAGCTCCTGCTCATTTCTCCATGCGTTGCCTTATGCTAAATGCGCACTAGCCTGGCTAGCCCTATCGCCATCGCCAGTACCTTGTTTTCGATGTTTTTTTTTTTTTGCATGCTCGTTGAGCCAGGTTGAGCCTAACCTCGCCGCCTTTGTTTTGTTACGTCGACCGGCAACGTCGCACGATTGTCGTACGGCTTTCTCGTTTTAAAGGTTAGAGTGATTCGTTTCTGCGTTCGCGATGAGCTCCGGAAGCAGCGCGAAAAAGAAACGGAGGCAGTTTTCTTTGAAAGAAAAAGTGGATATTCTTTCTCAAGTGGACGCCGGTAAAAAACAAATCCACATTGCGAACGAGATGGGGGTTGCACCATCAACTGTCGCAACCATCCTGAAGGACCGACAAAAGATCCTCGAGCTGCACCGAGGGTCCCAACTCGCACCGTCAAGAAAACTGCTCAGACTTGGGAATTTCCAAGAAGTGGATGCTGCAGTACTGACTTGGTTCAAGGACGCGCGTTCTCAAAATGTGCCGGTGTCGGGACCCATGCTGCAGGAAAAAGCCCGGCAATTCGCTGATGCTTTGGACATCACAGGCTTCAAAGCAAGCGCGGGGTGGCTTCATCGTTTCCGTGAAAGGAATCGAATCACCTGGCAAGTGGTGTCTGGTGAAGAGAAGGCGGCAGACGCAGCAAGCGCTGCTGCATGGAGGGACGAGAAGTTCCGCGAAATCGTCGCTTCATACTCCGAAGATGATATATTCAATGCGGACGAAATGGCGTTCTTCTATCGAATGCTTCCTGATAAAACCATGCATTTTAAAGGGAACAGCTGCAAAGGTGGCAAGCAGTCTAAAGTCCGGATTACGGTATTGTTATGCTGCAATTCCACAGGCACCAAGAAGCTGAAGCCCTTGGTGATCGGCAAATACAAGAAGCCTCGCTGCATGAGGAACGTTGTTTCATTGCCATGCGATTATCGGGCTAATTCACGCGCGTGGATGACACGAGAGTTATTCTCTGAGTGGCTACTAAAGGTGGACGATGAGATGAGGAGCGCAAGTAGAAAAATCTTGATTATCGCCGACAACTGCTCGGCGCATCTTGTTAATGTCAGGCTGACAAATGTACAGCTGGAATTCTCGCCTCCGAACTGTATGTCCTTGCTCCAGCCACTGGACCAAGGCATCATAAAAAGTGTCAAGGCCCATTACCGGACACGCCTGGTTCAGCGATTGCTGATAAATCTTCGGATGAAGCTGCCTACATCCATCAATGTGCGACAGGCCACAGAAATGGTTACCGGGGCCTGGTGGAGCGTTACATCAACCACCATCCAGAACTGCTGGAGGAAGGCAGGCTTGGTAGTAATGCCATCTGAATCTGAACAAGGCAGCGAAGAAAGCGACGCGAGTGGCATGTGGCAAGAAGTCGTCGAAAGACTCGCGATGGATGCCTCGGTGACGTTCGAGGACTATGTGCAGTGCGACGACGAAGCATGCACGTCAGCCGAACTGACGACCGATGACATCGTCAGTGCTGTTCGTGGTGATAACAGCGACGAGGACGGAGGACGCCAATGGCGAAGACGACGCTGAGACCGCGCCCGTTAGCCAACCAGAAGAATCGCTTTCCAACGCCGACATCATGGAATGCGTGCGAAAGATGCGCACTTACCTTGGCAGGTGCAGCAATGCCACCGAAGCAGAGCATAAGAATGTGGACAACTTCGAAGCGTTCGTCCTGCGGCAGTTGAGCAGCACCCGCCAGGCCAAGATCACCGACTTTTTCAAATAAACGTGCGCCCATTCCGGAATACTTCGCGTTTTGTTTCTTTTCACGCTCGTCATAAAAATCAAGCGTTTGCGGATGTGTACACAGCAAAGGTAGGCGACTCCTTTTGTTGCATTTACGATTTTTAATGCGAATTTTCGATGTTTTCACTATAACGATATTTCAAAATAACGAACTATTTTCCGCGGTCCCTTCAAATTCGTTGTATCGAGATTTCACTGTACTACTTTCACCTATCAATAATGCTACAATGTTGAGCAACGCAACACCGTTAAAGGGACACCAAAGAGCATAACGATTTTTTAGTGTATAATTCAAGTACCCCCAAAGCGCCCCTCTTACTGCGACATGACGCTGGGTTAACGAGAAAATGCGTGAAAAGAAAATACGAGTGGAGACACCACTATGCGATTCCCGCACCAAACACAGTAAATTTTGAAGACACCTACTAGGTCCTACATAGCTTCTACTCGAAAAAAATGAAGCACATTATCTTTTGTGGGTGCCCTAGACCTAGCATACGAAGTTTTGAAAAGTTTCATTGAGCCAATGTCACGAAAATACAAAAAATACATTTCGTTTTAGATTTTAGTTTGTCCACGCCAACTGCATAGGCTCTATGAAGGATTGTGCCAATAGTGACTGGCGTCAAAGCAACGACAAGCAGTAGCTTCGTTTCCACCACATGCCTTCAGAACTGTGCAGTCGCCATCTATGACAATACATTAGCGAGCCAAGTTTATTCAGCAGAAGGTTCAGTGTTTAAACAGTCATTTCAACTTGCGAAGTAGACCTTCATAACTACATGGACGCCTCTACTGACCGTGGTTTTTTTCCACAGGGGATGTGGTATGCAGCAGATTTATTGAGGCTTCAGGCAATGCACTTGCAATGCTCCAAAACTCAAATATGGAGGAAGCTGTTGAATATGATGGCCTTCATCTGTGGCACGTATGCGAGCATAAACTAACTTGCTACATTGCAACGAACAAATCAGCTGCTGGCCATTTTTCTGGTGAAATAACTATTGCTACATGCACGTGGTGGTCGTGGTCACGGCACGTCTCTTCCTTCGTGTTCAAACAGTGCTTCGCAAGTGTCAACTTTATACTGCTCTTCTGTAAAATGAGTACTGCATCTATGTATTCATAAAAAAAAATGCAATGATGTGATAGCCTCCAGCTTATTGTTTTGTTGATACTTTCAATAATTCAGCATTTGGTTAATGCGGACATATTTTCTGACCACAAGAAATTAACCTAACAAGCTTTTACTGTACCTATAGAGACTCAAAAAGATAGAGATCAGAATGAAGCTGAGGAATAGAGATATGCAGTGTTCAATATGGTTATTACCTATCTTAGCTGGATCCAATATAGGTGGACTCAGCAGTACAGCTTACTTAGCCCGGTTCAAAACTAAAATGCACTAACATGCAGCACTCTGGCATTACAGTATGCCTGTTATGCAGGTGATCAGACAAGGCATGCATTGTGCAGCATGCTTAGAGAAGCGAAGTTCATACCACTGTGTGATCCTTCCAGCAAAGGACAGCTCAGAGGAAAAGAATGTTTTTGGAGTGATCAGTAGTAGACATGTCAACAATACTTTCAGCACCAAGGAAAAAAGTGCATTAAGCACACAAGCTGTGTACATGATTTCGTTGGCCTTGAGACCCATGTCGCAGATGTTACGACCGAAACAGCTGTGGTTAACTTGGTTAGTTGAAAAGGTGACAAACCTTGAGGCAGGAAGGAGCATAACGCATGCGGTATCGCATTCGAAACACTGTGCGATGAGTTGCGCACATATTGAGCTTTCCGCGTTCTCGCGTGACATGTATTCAACGCTGTGGATGCGCACACACTCATTACAGACACTTTTTTGTTTTTTTAAAAATACTGCTCACTGAGCCAAGCCTAAACCTCGTGGTCTCAAAACCAAGCTCATTCAATTGAGAAAAATTTTAAACACTGCAGGAACTAAAAACATTGTTTGGAAAAAACTAAACTGCAGAGCACATAGACAAGCATGCACACAAAAACTAAAGAAAGCATGTTGCTGTAAACTCTTATTAAAACTGCTTGCTGTATGTAAATGCAGTCAAATAATTCACTTTCATAGTACTTCTCATATGTCGAGCGTTAAGTCAAATAGTTTTGGGAATGTTTTCCAATATGTGCAAGCAAAAAATGCATGTACTCAAAAATACAAAGTTTCAACACAGATTTGAAAAATGCTTACCAACACATAGCCCACTTTAATTCATTTCTTTTCAAAGAACTTCAAGCTCACGCGTGCTTTTATCAGATGAATTGCAGCACCACAACTGGTCTTAGCTACATGAGTAAATTTTCTTGCTTGCAAATCTAGGCAGTTACCAGTTTTCCAGTGCAATTTCGGCACATTCTAGAAAGTGCAAGTACTTTCATATGCAGACCTACAGTACCATGTGAAGGCAGTAAATGTTTCCATACATGCCACCTAACGTTCAAGACTGAAGCTATACTTGTGAACAAAACCAGTAAAGTAATTTAAATTACAAGTGTCTAACCAAGCTCGTATTGTCACTTTGAACCCTCCTGTGGCCTTAAAGGTTGTTGCTGAGCACAAACGCCTCACCCTGCTGAGAGTAAGGATTGTGACGCCCACTAGGAGGTCCTTGGCTTCCAGAGTACATTTGTTCATGATAGGCATCCAGGTTCATGTCCATATCTGGCCCCTGAAAACAGCAAGCAGATGGAAGTTGCTCATGTGGACGCTATCTCATACGGTATCAGTGGTGCAACCGGAATGAAGGATAAGGCTCCTAACAACTTTCCTTGCACCACACACTTCATATATACAAGTAGCAATTGGACATCTGACACTGGGTAACAAGGAGCGAAGAAAGAAGTCAGTTAACACCGGTGCATGACTGGATATTTGTGCACCCTAGCGACTGAAGACATCCTTACACAACAAATGTAGAAGGATATGTAGTGGTACCGAGAAGGCATCCAAAAAATTAACTGCTGACTGTACCCAATATATAGTGCAATGAAGTAAAATTAGATTTTATACAAAAAACCATACAGGACCTGCATTCATACTTAGCACAAAATGATAGCAACCACAACAGGACAATGCTAGTTGCATTCCTTGTCACATGACAGTTATACTATAAAACTGCTAGATTGACAAATTTTGCACTTTTGACTAGCGTTATACATCAAGTAAGCACATAGAACGATGATGCCAGTAATAAGTGTAACAACCATTCCTCACACTTGCCACATGTTACTCTATACTCGGCAACAACTTATCTTGACATTGGATCGAAGGCTACAAAGACTGGGCTTTCGTACATTTATGTTGCTCCGCAAGTAGTGCGGCATCTTCCAGCATATTTCTGCTTTGCTCACTTGTAGCGTTAACACGCTTAGAAAAACACATTAACGAAAATTATGAATAGGAGAAACATTTCGATTATTCAGTGTACGCTTTAGTGTCATAGAGCGAGTATATTTTTCTTCGAAAACCAAACAGTGCAAGTCTTCACTGACATCACGAACGCCATGTTTTCTTAGAAATTGGGTGGGCTTTGGAAAAGGTGGGGATGTCCAAGAAATGGAAAGAAAATAAAAGCATTCTTGCAGAGTGAACAACTTTATTTTGGCAACAACTTCCCACAACCATTGCAGTCTCATACTAAATAAAGCTGTATTCATTTCAGCAAGGGTTATGAGAAAATTATTAGTAAACCTAAGTATCATTTTTTGTTGGCGCAGTAGTAGGCATGTGCTTTGGTTCTGTAGCTTCTACAGTACTGTCAAGAAAAGTTGTCTTCAAATATAGTATTGCTAGCAAGTGCAATGTTTAACATTCATAGAAAATCTCAGCAGCCACATTATCAATTTCATTGGACACCTAAAAGCTGATGTGAAACGCTGAATAAAAAATGCATGAATGAAGTCGCATAGCACAATTTCACTACAATTTTTAATGAACATTGTATCAAATTGCCAGTCGATGGGAGAAATTTTTTTTATACTGTCGATCCCTGTCACTATATCCAATTACTGGCCATATCGAACAGTTGAAAAATCTTGAATTTCCAGTACAGAAACATAGGGGCTAGTGCGCACATATATCTAACTCCCGCACAGCAAAGCATGTGCTATATTGAACGCTGCACTGCGCCAAAGCCCAGAAGCACATTTATCTAGTCCAATATTACAACTATTGAGGCACGTGCAGGCATACTGTTTTTCAAAAAGGCTGATTGCTAAGGGCACCAAAATGAGCATGAGAAGAGACTCGCCAGCCTAATTTCAATGTTTGCATTGCCTTCTTTGTTTCTTCGTTTATGATGGGGTATGGGCCCAAAAAGCATAGTTTTCGAGATGCGTACTCTCTTGACGTATTTTTGGCGTTTTCAGTTTTTAAAACACACATCTCAAAGGCACCGCTTTTTCTCGCATTTCGCACCAAAGCAGAGGCTGTCTGCTACAAAGTCACAAGTGCCATCGCTATCACCAACAGGCCAATCGTGAAGAAATGACCCTTTGTTGTTTGTGCAGCAGTGTCTCTTTCAGCATGTGGACTTGTGGACTTTTGCTTCGTTCCCAGTGAACCCTCATTCTTGAGTCTACCTAAACACTGACCAGCTCACTGCCAGAAAAATGATCGGTGCTTGGAGCGACGTCAAGGAAAGCACCATGCAATGTTTTCTAGCGGGCGGGATGATGACTTCGGTGTGTCATCACTGCTAATGACATTCAGCACATCTGTGTATTTCAAGACTAATTTAACGTTTCCACACACCATCTTGGACAGGAGTACAATGAGCAACTTCATTGGTGCAGATAACGACATTGCTGCTCCCGGCAGCATTGATGCAGAGATCAAGGCAGACATGTCCAGTCTGCAGAAATGGACTCTTGCTATTATGAAAATGCTAATGCAGCCTCTAACCTTTTATCGTGCTACCGAGCTTGCGCGCTAAGCATTCATCAACACTGTTATGGCTGAAAGAGCTTAATTTGCTGGTTTGGAAAGCTTCAATGATACTGAGAATGACTTAATGAACTAGACGGCACGCAGGAAGCAAAAAGAGTTTACAGACTATTTTCAAGCAAAATAAAGTGTGGTAAATCAAAAAGAAGTTCTCACCTGGTCCTTTGGCGCAATGTGAGCATATTGCTATGTTAGCACTTGTTACGATTTCTGAAAACTGTTTCAAAGCCTGCAATTCCTTAAAGGGACACTAAAGATGAATATCTATGTTGATATCTGAAAAAGCAGTCCAGAAACCTCGTAGTGCTACTTTTTAACTCTCGACAGCAGGCAATGAGCTGTTGGATGGCGCACACAAGCACACTGCCACGCGGTCTTCAAACTTATGATCGCGACTGTACAAAGTACACGTAGCAATATGCGATATCGAAACTACAACTGAGACATGGGTGCGTGAGCAAAGCTCAGTTTAGCAAAAACGATAATTTTGAACCATTTGTGCCATTCCCATGATAACGCCAAGCAGTTTTTTTTCCCTATGAATGGAATAGAAATGGACAAGCAGCATTTTAATACGTGTTGTAATGCACGGAAGGCTCGTTTTTTTTTATTTCAACAGGTTTGATTACTGGTGATTATTTGTAGGCATGAATCTGTGTGATTGGGATCATTTCAAAATGTCCATCTCATGGAACATGTGGTGTTGAACATTCACTCCGGTTGGTAGAGTTCTGCTGTTGATATTAACTTTTTAGATGTTTTCAACATTGATCTTTCACTCTGATGTAAATTGTTAGCCTATAGCGTCCCTTCAATTAAAGCCTTAAATACACAACTTTTGTAATTTGAATTATCGATATATTTAACTATTTTGCGATACCTCATTTTGATATATCCGTGATCGACCATGTGTGTACAGTTGAGCCCGCATATAATGAACCCGAGCATGACACAACATCTGTTCGCTGTATCCTGAAGCTCCTAGTAAATGAAACACGGCTTTAAAAAAACATTGCGAGTGAGAACACAAGTACCCCGCCCCCCCCCCCAAAAAAAAAAAACAAGTCCGTGATGCAAGTGTTTAAAAGAGCAGAAGCGATAAGGATGGTCTCCAAGTTTATTTAAAGCGGCAGCATGCTCTTCGCCAAGGCTCGTGACATATACAAGCTGCCCGAAACTATTAATTTATTGACATGTGGGGTTTAACGTCCCAAAACTAACATATGATTATGAGACACACCGTGGTGGAGGGCTCCAGAAATTTGGACCACCTGGGGTTCTTCAACGTGCACCGAAATTTAAGCACACGGGCCTACTGAGCACACGAGCACACGGGTATCTGAGCAGACGGGCACACGGGCCTACGTGGGCCTACAGTACTTTCGCCTCTATCGGAAATGCAGCCGCCACAGCCGGGATTCGATCCCGCGACCTGCGGGTCAGCAGCAGAGTACCTTAGCCACTAGACCACCGCGGCAGGGCGCCTGAGGCTATTAATGTAGCCAATTGATACAAGCACACTTGTGGGCACCGGTGCCTAACTTTCGCTGTGCTCGCCGTCAGATTACTCGAAATCACTCTTGCCGTGCCCTTCATTCACAATGCTCTCATCCGTGCACGGTTTCGCAGAGTTGGGATCATTATCGACCATAACGAAATCATTGAAACAGATGTCTCGCCCACCCTCCCATGTCAGAGCCGATGACGTGCTGCCACAAATCGCCGCCAGAGTGGTCCTGTTTAGAAGCTTCAGGCTCGGCATTGGGTCCGACGTCGGCTTCGCAGAAGCAGTTTTGCACACATGTAACTGTCACTGCCGCTCACAAAGCCTTCACCTTCTTCATAGCTGAATACAGGGAGACTCGATGCGGCAAGTTGGCTGCTGGGTGGTTAACAGATATAAGCAGGCGCTCCACAATGCAGCACCTTAATAAGTTTTAAAGGTGCTGCACTACGCCCAAGCTGAGCAGTCACATTTTCGATGCTTTGTTGAACGGCAAGAAAAAGTGCGGAAGGCCAACCGTCTGTCATCCTGACAACTCACGCACAGCAACAGCGAGCAAGGCGTGCACACGCGACACAGAAGCCAGGACGCGTGGAACTTCTCTGGGCCTGTTTCTACTCTGAACACGAATTTTCTGAATTTGAGTCAGCATGGTTGGAGTCATAGAGCAGTGGAGACTGGCGAAGCAGTGGCGATAAAGAGAGGAGAGCAGGCTCTCCGAGATGGGCAAAGAAGTTGCAATATAGTGTAGACGGAGGAGCACACAACGGGAAGGCGACCTTGAAAACCAAAAGACGCAGGAAGAAGGCAGGTCTGATAGCTTGCTTACAACATTCACAAAACACGCTACTCGTGTGTAGGAAAACTTGGGAGGTCGCAGAATCGCATTGTGGCACTTGTGGGCTTGCGCAGCCCCACTCACGATTCGTTACGTGTAATAGCAGTTTTTACGCTTCCACATGTGTGCAGAGGACATGCTGAACTGAGTGCGAAGTGAGTGCGAAGTGAGTGAGAACAGGTCCTAAACACGGAACGAATTGCGGATTATCAAAGGCAGTGGGGTAGTGCAAGTGCATGTAGTAGAACAATACGACATCGATCCAGACGACTGGGCGTAGTCGGCGGCCGACTATGTTGGCAAATGGTCTAGTCAATCAAGGCCAGCTATAGACAAGACACAGACGGTTAGTAACAAAGTGGCTGACTGGGCTAGTTAGTTAAGCATACTTAAGGTTTAAGAGGGCAGACTGCTCTTTGGGACCAAAAAGTGACAAAAAAAATCTCATGATAATCTCAGCCCCACTCGCGATTCGTTACGTGTAATAGCAGTTTTTACGCTTCCACATGTGTGCAGAGGACATGCTGAACTGAGTGCGAAGTGAGTGAGAACAGGTCCTAAACACGGAACGAATTGCGGATTATCAAAGGCAGTGGGGTAGTGCAAGTGCATGCAGTAGAACAATACGACATCGATCCAGACAAGACACAGACGACTGGGCGTAGTCGGCAGCCGACTATGTTGGCGAATGGTCTAGTCAATCAAGGCCAGCTATAGACAAGACACAGACGGTTAGTTACAAAGTGGCTGACTGGGCTAGTTAGTTAAGCATACTTAAGGTTTAAGAGGGCAGACTGCTCTTTGGGACCAAAAAGTGACAAAAAAAATCTTTTTAAAATTGACATATTTGGTATCTGCAAGTATTTTGCTATCTCTCTGCAAACTTTTACACACAAGGAAGTGGTATTTTTTTGTAATGTCATTCTAACTGTCCAGATTCTTGGTGCTGTTAGCATGCAGAACCTGCAAAAAAAAATGGGGAACCAACTTTGAGGCCTCTTTATAATTTACCGGCACTTGTGTTGGAAGCTCTGCTACGAATTTATGAGCACTTTTATGAGGATTGCAAAACATGCACACCACGATTGTTGGTTTTTGAAGAAGCTGTGTGTTTTCATTTTTTTCCATTTTTCTCAAAAAAGTAAATTTACAACTGTTCAATTTTGAGGCCTCAATATCTCTGCAGCTAGGGCAGGTACAACAATAAGTCTTTTTGCAATGGAAATCTGTATGTGTGTAAGGTGCAAGTATGGGAGCAGAATTCAAAGAACAAGCTTTTTTAATTAATAACTCATCAAAATTTTAACACAGTTCCAACTGATTTTGAAAATGGATAGTTCATTTTGCTGTAAAATATAAGAAAGGCTTAAAAACAAAAAACTTTTGCAATATTTCAATCTATAGTCATTAGTCTATGTAAGGATATTTTAAATATCACTTTTAATTAAGCACTTTTTTTTCTATGACGGCCTTAAACAATAGGGGTTGAACTTAATTTATCTCAGGAATAAGATGAGTTACAGAAAAACTAATTAAACATTTGAAATCATGAGAAACAACTGCATAATCTGTGCAGTTTGATCAAGATCACTCAAGAAATGAACAAAAAATGTCTAAGAGCAGTCTGCCCCCTTAACAGCACGTGTACAGGACCCCATTTTCGTGCAGTGCATGTTACGTGGGCCAGCCGGGCAGATGCCTGAACGAACGGTTACAGGAACACGGCAATAATGTTCGTAATGGCAAAGATTGCTTCCTGGCACAACACGTGAGCACGTGTGGGTGCAGTCCACTGTCCGAAAACACAACAGTTCTAGGTAAGATTAAAGAACACTAGCGTATAATCTATGAGGCTGCTCAGATGGCACTTGAAAAGAGCGCATGCATAAGCAAGCCATCAGTTGCTTTATCAGAGAGCTATGAGCACGTGTGGGTGCAGTCCACTGTCCGAAAAGACAACAGTTCTAGGTAAGATTAAAGAACAGGAGCGTATAATCTATGAGGCTGCTCAGATGGCACTTGAAAAGAGCGCATGCATAAGCAAGCCATCAGTTGCTTTATCAGAGAGCTATGTTTTTTGAGGTGCGAGGGTCGGCGTAGCAGGCTCAGTGTTTGTTGATATTTCGTATCTTTACATCAGTCATTTTTCACCGTTTTTTCTGTTCACTCGGGTATATTAACAACTTTCTTGTAAATAAAAATTTAGTTGGAAGTCAGCGCTTGTCTTGTCCTTTACCTGTTCGCCGTGTTTTTTTTCCCACACTGTTAAGGGGAGATGCGGGTCGAAAAACGCGTGTTTTTTTCAAAATTACCGTTTTTTTTATTTTTGCCTGTTTTGATAAGATTAGTACCTCTAGTGTTATGAAAAAACAAAAAACAGATCGAGACTTATCTGCAAATGCTTTAAAATTGCATATAAACAGCACAAGGTGCCTGTTAAAAGGTCCAAAGTGTGCAGTCTTCGAGCACCTTGCCACCGATAATGTGCCGCCGCTCGCCATTGCTGATCGCATGAGTCGAAGAGTCTAGCCTCACTCTTCAAATAACAACAGTTTCTCTCGCTGATGCAGCGCAAGAAATAATAAAAAGAAGCACACTTCTGCGCGTTTTTCGAGCGCCGCGACTGGCTTATCACGTCGTACGGATCGGAGACCGCCATTGGCCGCTGCGCGCCTGTATATGCTGTGAAACCTATGTCTTGTCGAGCAGCGCAGCTGAACAATGCTTTTCTCGTGTAATTATCTCCGTTATCAATGAAAAAAGGAATTGCTCGCAAGTGAAAGTTGTTGTGCGGCGTGCTCTGTAGGAATAGGCTACGAGCAGCTGGTCCGATTCGCGGCAGTTAATTTGTTGGCTTGCAAAAGCTAATGCGTCAAAAGTTATTCACACCAGTCAGCCGGAAAGTTCGTGATGCGGCAATGGATGACGTCTGCGCCAATCTTGCGAGGTCGAAAAAGCTCGCAGAGAGAGAACTTAGCAGGGACGACATTGCCATTATGTGGCAATGACGGTATGTGGCACAAACATGGCCGCAAAATGGCTTGACACTGGATTTAGTTTGGATTTCACAGTCCTGTAGAACTTCTTCCTAGCTTGCAGTTGGCACAAGGCTCTGCCAGATGGAGCAGAAGTTTGGCAAGCGTTTCATGGCCCTGTCTTTGAGCGAAATGTCTGTGAGGAGTCGGCTCGAAGAAGATGAGAGGGATAAACTCAAGGTGCTGGTGTATTTTAGTCGCAGTGGCCACTACAAAAAGGATTGTTCTTTTTAGTGCGCAAATTTCATCAGATTTAATGATATATTTCATACATAAAAACTCAATTTTAACTTTAGAACTCGTTTCTCTCAAAATGCAAATTTTGCCATTTCTTCCAATGTGCCCCTCCTTTTTCAGGCACTTCTAAACCCCGGATCAGCATAAAGTTTTGCTCAATTTTTTCCAAAGTACAACAAATGCAATTATCAACTTTATATTCCAATAATTTATTGTATGATAAAAAATTGTATGTAAACATTTACTAGGGTAAGTGAAAATATGGACTTTTTTACGTCTATTATTTCTCACGCGTATTACATATTTTGTATATGCTTCCTAATAAGTTATTTGCATTCTAAACTTTATTTGAAACATTATGAACTATGAATAGTAAAAAATTACAGAAGTTTAGGGATGAAAAGAGGGAGACAAAAGGGTTAATGTTTTCACTTTGTCATGTTGCAGAGCTAAAAGTGTGAAACATGCAAGAAGACTAATATATTTGAAATCAGCATAAAAAGTTCCATAAACAGCTCAAGTTTCATTGCTCTAGGGTGAATATTTAAAAAAAAAGTGTCTTCGAGTAGCATCTCCCCTTAAACCTTAAGATTAGGCACAGTCAGTGGCCGACGATGTTGGCAAATGGTCTAGTCAATTCAGGCCAGCGACGATAGTGTAACAAAACCAGCGATCAAAAACCGAGGGGAGACTAGTTGGCTGACCGGCCTTTGAGAGATCGGTAGCAGTGTGAAAAATTTTTTGCCATTGAGATAATGTAAATTTTGACGGTCAAGCAGCTATCGTTTGTTTTAAGCGAAAGTCCATTTTAAGTGGGGCCGTTATATGTAGGATCGACTGTATATTAAATAAAATGAACATTTTACAAAATCAATACGGCTTGGAACAGATCATGTACTTACCGTGCCTCCCCACGGTCCGGCATCCTCGCGGAACAGCGAATTGGTCAGCTCCATCGAGAGCCGCTTCTTATAGTCCTGTGGCTTGTCTTCTGACATGCGGAAAAGGACTGCAGCCGCATATGTGGCTGAAACACAAACAGTAAATACTTAGAATCACATCATATTCAAAGCTGGCGCAGTCACTTTTGTACCAGCTGGCCCCGTAGAGCTTTCCAAGCACAGTAGAGCTGTACTCTGTTATAAATCAGAAAATATTTGCACATTTGTATTCTTGACAAATCCAGAACTCTTTCAAGAGTGTAGAGTGACATCTCAAAAAACAATTTAAAGGAACAGTACCGTATTTACTCATGTAATGAATCCACTTTTTCTTTTTTTGAGAAATATCAATCGGAGGGGGGGGAGGGGGGGGTCATGACGCGGGAGAGAAAGTCAAAAGAGTTACAACAGCGAAAAATCTGCATGATTGTTATGGCCTGCGATTTGCGTGACAAATTTTTTTTGTAGCCCAAAGCTCTTCCGGTTTTTCCCGTTACAAACGTGCACGGATTGATGCTGAAGTGTCATGCAGCCACTCTGTTCACATGCTTCAGCGCATGCAGTCGCGTAGCTAGCGCACCGGACTTTTGGCCCAAAGTGTTACAACTTTTGGCCCAAAGTGTTGACCATTGAGGTAGCACCGGCCGTGTCATATTTTTTCTTCTCTCTTTTTTTAATAAACAACTATTTTCAAGCCACTTGGCTGGATCACAACGAAAATTTCGTACTCATGCCGTGACCCTTTCCGTTCGCAAAATATAACTAAAATAAGTGCGTTTTCATGTGCATTCGTTTTTTTTTTTCTCTTCAGACTGCCCGATTTTCCGGATTTTTTGTGGTGCCTTGACGGTCTGGGAAATCTGACATCAACTGGAGTTACTATCACTTACAGTAAGTTTTGTCACAATGGAAACAGGTATAGCTCACTATCTAACCACAATTTAAGTCGGAATCGGGTTGGCGCTGTAGCTGGTATCCCAGCTATAGACGAAGCAGACTGCGTAGCAAACGCCATTGCAGACGCGGCCAGCATCTAGCGTGCAGACGGCTCGATGCCGCTCGGGTCCCTTAGATCACATGGTAAAGGCGGCATGTGACGTACTACCTATGAGCTGAGACATCAGCAGGCCGACCGCCAGCGCCTGCATTGAGACTTGGCAAATCAAAGAAGCTCAGTGCATTTGAAATTCCAGTGGTGACCAATAGATTTCGAGGGCCTGCCATCTTGTTTCTTGCCTAACAAAAACGACATTGTGGTGCATGCTTGGCGCAAACTATGCAAGTTTTTCCAAGATGTATCAGGATGTAGCAGGTTGCACCTCTTGGCACAGTTTAGTTTAATTGGCACAACTATCACATCATTAGCAATGCTTCATCAATTACGTCTTACTAACAAGCCCATCAGCACATATAAGTATGCCTTCTCGCTGACACGGTGAATGAAGCTTACCGAATCGTTGACAAATGGCGCTGCACATTTTGAATACCCTCTATTAGTTTCTAAACTTACTGAAAGAATAGAATAATGCAAATAGGTCACCAGCTGCTACAACAATCAATTGTCGCTTTTCTTTAAAACACAAACTATCCTGCTTTATTTGCAGAGTACTCCTAATATGTTAGCACAAGTGGATTGAACTATGCTTTCGGGCCAACACTTGGAATGAAACAGCGAGAAAACAAAATAAGCCCCACATGTGCTTAAAGTTTTGGCATGAAGTTCTTCCAAGATAAAGCCAACAGAAGAAAAAAAGCCTGACTGATGGGTGTCAAAGCAAGATGAACAACAAGGTTGGGGCTCAGAAAACCAGTGTAAACAAAGAAAAGAAATCAGCACTGACCCTTAATATTGCTCACTTTCTTTTAGTGTGGGGCTTCCCACTTCTGAACAAGTATTTGTAGAGACAACTCTTTCACACAAAAGTGTTGTGGCACAGACCAAGCGACATTATTTGGGCAGGTCAACTTGCAAAGCTTCCTTAGTTTTTTGGGGGCTGAAAACACCCCACATACGTGAACCCGCTGGGCCACTTTCTTCAAGTTACGAGAGATAGTATGCATATACGGGATTACACCTATTCTGCTGCCCCAACACTTCAACACCTGTTGCCTGTCTTTGTGCGAAACTTTCAGGATACGTTCAGGTCTCTGTAGGTCTGCTGCAGGTCTCTGTAGCTGAACACATCCTGAAACTTTCATACAAAGACAGGCAACAATTGTTGGAGCGCTCGGGCAGCAGAGTAGGTGTAATCTCGTATACACACACTACCTCTCATAACTTGAAGAAAGTGGCCCAGCGGGTTAACTTATGCGTAGTGTTGCAAAACTTGGGGAGCTTTGCAAGTGGACCTGCCCAAATAATGCCATTCGCTTGGTCTGTGCCAAGGTCAGATAGGTAGATTGTGTGTGCTGCATTGTGTACATGTTTTTGCTATCTTGTGGAAAGTATTAATTACACAGTCAAGCCCAAATATAATGGCCCCACTTAAAACGAACTTTTACTTCAAACGAACAACATCCGCATGACCGTGAAAATATACATTGGTTTAATGGCACGAAATCGCATTTACAATGAACGTCTCCAAGCACCGCCGATCGGTTACAGCAAACGAGATTATCTCTATTCCTCTATTCTAACTCCTTGCCCTTCTCTCGCAAATCGGCTCTCCTCTCTTATTCACAACCCCTTCGCCTGTCTCCACCGCTCCGCGACGCTAGCCCACGCTGGCTTGAATTCAAAAGTTTCGTTCTCAGTCTAGAAACGGGCCCAGAGCTGTTCCACGCCTTCTGGCATGTGTGTCGCGTGTGCGCATCATGCTCGCTCTTGGTGTTCGTGTGTGCTCAGGATGGCAGACGGGAGGACTTGCACGCTTTTTCCTGCCGCTCAACAAAACGTCGAAAGTGTCACCGCTTGGCTTGGGCGTAATCCACGTGTTAAATGCTGCGTTGCAGAGCGCTTGCTCATAGCTGTTGACCACCTGGCAGCCAACTTGCCGCTTTGGGCGTCCCGGTATTGAGCTGTGGAGATGCTGAATATTTCGTGGGCGGCGGTGACGGCTACACGCACGCGAAACTATTTTTGCGAGGCCGACTTCATCGACGTGGGGCCCGATGCCGAGCCTGAAGCTTCCGAACAAAACCACTGCGGCGGCGATTTGTGGCAGCGCAGCTACGACTCTGACATGAGAGGGCGGGTAGGACATCTATTGCGATGGTTTCATTATGGCCAATGATGATGTCGACACCGCGGAACTGTGCACGGATTAAGGCATTGTGAATGAAGTACGCGGCAAGAGCGATTTGGAGGGATCGAATTGCAAGAACGACGAAACTTTGGAGCCAGCGCCTCATGCAGCTTTTGCCATGGGCCTCGGCGAACGAGCACGCTGCGGTATGAGAGAGAAAAAAAAAAAAAAAAAAAAAAAAAAAAAAAAAAAAAAACTCGCGACACCCCTTATCGCTTCTGCCCTTCTAAACACGTGCATCACGTACTGTCTTGGGCAAAAAAAGTTTGTGTTTTCACTCACAACTTTTTTTAAAAGCTGTGTTTCATTTACTACGAACTTTAGGATACAGCAAATGAATACCGCGTCAGGCTCAGGTTCGTTATAAGCGGGCTCGACTGTATAGGGCAGACCAAGCGGAGTCTTAATGATAGACTACGTGAACATGGCTACAACGCAAGAAATAAACTTTCAGCGGAAGGGTTCCTAGCAGCGCACTGCAATAGTTGTGCGTGCTGCCCCGATCTACACAGCTGCACCGTTATTGCCAGTCTCGCAATCAACTGACCCGCGAAAATCAAAGAAGCTGAAGCTATAGCCGAAATGGGAAACGTGTGTGATGAAATTATTGGAAGCGCAAATTAACGGGACATAAGAGAAGAGACGAACAAGCGTATATTTTATTATGAATTTGTACCAACTGGCCCGCCTGTCAAACCTTCTGCAACGTGTGTGTAAGTTCACCATCAATTACACTGACGGATAAAGAAATGACGTTTCTTGGAATGACACCACGTGTAAGGCAAGTTGTGTTTTTACACATATAAAATGAATGTCAAGGGCATAAAATAAACAGTTGGAAGTTTAGCGCCTACCCTTCTAGAAGTCCCTGTCTTCTTTCCCTTTTTAATGTTTCATTTCCAAATGTGCCACGCTAACACAAGCTAAGTTCTCTCACACAGCCAAACTGAGGTATTGCTACTGGGATTACTATCAATAAAGAACAGTCATATATCACTTATAAATCCAATCAAAAAGTTTACAGCTGTACAAAGCATGTATAAAAGATGTTCACCACCATTTTTCACTGCAAAGCTGTGCCTCTGCAAGTTAACCCTTTCAACAGCACCGCAATGAATTTGTAATTTGTGTATATATTGAAACTCTTGCCAATCGAACAATTTTTGCAGATGATGCCATATAGGATATTTACTCTGATGACAAATACAATCAGGGTGTCTACCATTTTGATTTTTTTTTTTTTCAAATTCTCTGACTTTTCGAGGTTTTCCATGATGATTAAAAGCAAATTCCATGACTGTCACGTCTGCTTGGAAAACTGTGTGCACACAAAAAACAACGCGCCCCCCCCCCCCCAAGTGAAAAAAAAAAATACTTTTAAATCAGGTGCTCATATAGAATAAATAAACATACTACACGCGCTCAGAATGTTCTGAGCATGTGCGGCAAGTATGAAAAAGTACATCTGGCCAATATAAAACATTTGAGCCAGGCAGTCAGCAGCTTGGCTGTTTGATGTTTGGAAGAACCTGGAAGCAAACTCATGAGTCAAAATTAACCACAGCTGAAAGTTTAAAGAAGCCCGCGATAGTCCGACAACCCAGCCAAAAGTGCTACGAAGCGTATCAACGGTGCCTTCTCGCGGCATCTGGTAAATGAAGGGTGCGGGAGCCCGGCCGGTTTCGCCACTGGAGTATATTCTAGTTCATTGTAATGGCTACAGTCCAAGCCGCTCAGGGATGCAAATTGGATTGAATTAGATTGACATAGACTGCCGTATTCACTATTGATTTACGTACATCACTGCCAGATTTTCACACCTCTAAAATATACTTTTCAGCCTAAAAGGATAGCTACTATTCGCGTATGCTGTGCCCCTTGCCTTGACAATCACTAGTGATAATGTCACAATAATAGAGCCGTAGTACAAAATCTTTTTTTTTCCCATAACAAGCGCATGCGTGTTGTTTTATTTCTCTGGACTTTGACGCTTAGAGCATGATAAAAGTTCTGAGGTGCCTGAAATGAAAACTGGGGGTAGCGTTTAAAGAGCTGACATTCGAAAAATATGATGGCAAGAAGGAATCCGTCATACCGAAACATTTAACTCGATTCCATAGATGAATCTCGAATGCCAGCGTGTAACCTTTGTTTACATACCCTTATAAGGATGGGATGCTAAAAAATAATTGCAGATTTAAGAACACAATCTCAAGAAACTTAAATGAGAAATTTAGCTAAAGCTACCCAATGCTACCCTTGAAATGCGAGCTACCAGCAGTAAGTGTGTAGCTGAGGACGTTTGCCATTGCATCGCGAATAATAAAAATAGTAATAACAATAATAAAATAATAAAAAAGGTACGACATACCCCGGCAAGTCTCTGCCGATGGCAATTCTAGCCTAACTAAATGGCCTTCAAGCCAAGCCGAAATCGTGGCCAAAACAAAGATGCACAAGTTCACCAAGTTAGATATGCTGCACGATATGTAGAAGCAACAGACATCCAAATACTAGTTCATGTACCAATTAAAAGCTAAGAAATACTACAGTCAATGTGAAGGAGAAGTTGCTGAACGGAAATTTCCCTGGTCTTGTTTACACTATAGACTCCCCTGATCGTGACAACCAGTACAACTGCAAAACCGGTGATTTCAAGAAGAGTTAAAAAACATGAACTGCATGTCTCAAAACGACGCGTGGCCGTAAATATTCTTGGAGAAAATGTGGGATCTACAGGTCATCAAATTGACTGGTCAAGCGCATGTGTTCTAGAAAAACAAATTCGCCTGTATCTGCATGTTCGATGGCAAATGTCGTCGGAAGACGATAGTCTTCTGTCTGGAAAGAGTGAAACATTTCTTTGATGTCTTGCGCGAAAAAATCGGTCAATGGGATTCTGGAGATGCTGCCTTAAGATATGAGCCGAGTGTCGTCTGGCGGTAATCTCGGAAAACAAAAGGATGACTTTCGTCATAGCGAGCGCGCACAATCTTAGAGGCCATATTTTGTAGATTTCATGGTAGGTGGCAGCACTGTATCGTTTCAGCAAAGCGTAGGAAACTAGTCTTCTCGTGCATAGCGTCGCATTGTCAGTGCAGCGTTCTTAAAGTTACTTATGTATGCCTTTTTTAGTATATAGAAACACACCACATATTATTGACGTGTGTATATTCTCCCTATGTGTAATATTTGTTTTTTATTTGACAATCGCACAAGTATGAACGCAGAAACCTGAGAAATTTTGGTGGGCGCTCTAGATGTGGTCGTCCTTGAGTGTTTCAATGGACAGGTAGACAGACCGAAATTTCTGCGTTGAAGTATCCCAAGAAATACTATCGTCTTTGAAAAAAGAATAAATAAATTACGCTAGCATCATGCCTGCACATGGAATCCCTGCACATACAAACAACTGCCCATATGCTGAACAGGAGTGGTGGGATGCTTCCGACAATGTATCCTTAGAGCGACAATGTATCCATGTCATGTACTTAGGCCTACTTAAAGGGACACTGAAGAAAAACAGTGACTTAGTTTAGATTGACAGACTGCACTCTGAGAACTCTAATGCTTTATTTTTCACTATCATAAGGAGAAAATGACTGAAATTTCATTTTTAAATTTTGTGCTGAAATCTTCAGACGTGATGAGACTTCAAAATGCATTTTTCAATTTTATTTTCGCAACATTGGCTTGAGAAAATTTTCTGGAACTTCGTATTTTAGATCTTTCGTACCTACAGATGACAATGTACTTAATTTTTATTGAGTAAAAGTTATGTAGGACCAAGTAGCCGCCTTCAAAATTTATGACATCACGGCGTTTAGTATATGTGGCGCCTCCACCCACATTTTCTTTTTGTGCGCTTTGTTGCTTACCGAACGTCGTATTGTGGTGAGAATGGCGTTTTAAGGATTGTAGAATCGTACTTCCCTAATATGCGAAAAACAAAAAAAGTTTTGCCCTTTGGTGTCCCTTTAAATATGCTGTGCCTTTCTTATGGCTTTTTATTGTGAGCAAGGCTCCCGCATGAGGTGCCGAAATGTCAGTGAAATGTGTTCTTTTGGTTGGTTTATCCTTTCGCATTTGCACTAAGAAGCGACACTTATGCACTGCCTTTCTTTTCCCACCTCTTCAAGCTATTCACTGTAGTCAGCCAAAGAATTCCCCGACTTTTCCAGAAGGGTCTAAATTCCCCGACTTTTCCAGGTCTTCCAGGTTGGTAGACACCCTGATACTATGTAGGATAAGTGAGCCAAACAAGGGTGATAGGCATGAAGTAAGGGCCTTATTTGCGCTTGGCAACAGTGACTGCATAATTATGTTTTATTGCAACACAGGCGTGCAGTGCAGTCAAACATACAAATAACAATAAGAACCATGCTGGATTGAACCATACCTACCTTGGCGTTACATCTCTGTTGGAGAGTTACCAACGAGTCAACCTATTTTGAGTTCCCCTACCGACGCAATATTCCAGAGTTCGATTGTATTGTTTCCAAAACAGAGTTCGCCAGGTCCATGCTAATGCACCACAGAAAGTGGGCATAATCAAGATTGTCATCATCATCCTCTGCCCATTTAAGTCCACTGCAGGACAAAGGCCTCTAGCAATGATATCCAGTTTACAATATCCTGCGCGAGCTGATTTCATTCTATCACTGCAAACTTTTTCATTTCATTACTCCATCTAACTCTGCCTTCCTTAACTGCATTTTTCATTCCCCTTAGTAACCATTCCTTACCTCCAACTGTTGACTGATTCGATATGTGGGGTTTAACGTCCCAAAAGCACCATATGATTATGAGAGATGCCGTAATGGAGGGCTCTGCAAATTTTGACCACCTGGGTTTCTTTAACGTGCATCCAAATCTGAGCACACGAGGCTACAACATTTCTGCCTCCATCGGAAATGCAGCCGCCGCAGCCAGGATTCGATCCCGCGACCTGCGGGTCAGCAGACGAGTGTACCTTAGCCCCTAGACCACCGCGGCGAGGCTTTCCTACAACTGTCCACTGGCAGTCTGTTTTACACATTATGTGGCCAACACAAGCCCATTTCTTTCGCTTGATGTCAGCTGAACACCTGTGACCACTGCTTGGTTCCTGATCAATTCTGCTGCACTTAAAATTTCTCAATGATTACTGAATTTATTGCTTTTCTGCACACTGCACAAGACAGAAACCCCGTTTCATAATAAATTATCAAGCAACTTAATGGTTTTAGAGGAAGAATATCAATCCCAGGACTTTCAAGGGTTTTGTAAACACATCTTTCAATTTCAGGTGCTTCATGAATGTGTGCACACACTCTTTGTTCTCTACGAATGAACGGGTAATATGAAGAACCAAGAAAATTTTCATACTTGCAGCATGTGCAAACAGATTACGATACACAAGTTATTCATGCTAGCATGGAATCTGAGATGTGTGACAGGCCAGACGCAAACCTCAGAGACCACAGTTTTGCTCGACTCGGGTAGACTGCATAATTCCTATTAAAAAAAAAAAAAGAAACAAGCAACAATTCTCACGTGCAAAATTTAATGAACACCAAAATGGGGCACTTTTGGGGGGGGGGGGGGGGGGGGGGGGGGCTTGATAGAGGGTTTCTGCTAATGCCACAAATGTTTCGCAGACAGTTTCCATAATAGACAAAAAAAAAAAGTAAAGACAAAACCTCACCAACTCCCTCATTTCTGGAATGCAGAAGATCTGTGAGCGGAGCAGTAGCACCATCTGCTTCAATCATCTCAGCGCCTTCTTTGTCGGCTGCTAGCTCACACAGGACTCCAGCGGCAACACGTTGTATATTCTCGATGTCGCTGTACAGGAGCTGAAAAAAATATTCATGCTTGGTAGCAGAGTAGGTAACGGTGTGACACAAGCAAATACTGACCTGCACAAACACTGGAATGACGTTGAGGCCGCGGATGATGGCTCGGTTGTGAGTTTCTCGCGCTAGAATGTGCAGAGCCCCAACTGTGCCTTCGACAATTTCCTCCATGCGCACCCCATCTGAGTACGCTCCTTGTTGACTGCCATTTGAAGCCACACTGGAACGTTGCTGGGCAAAAAACATATCAAGACACTTTGAAACGGATAATAAATATTATGATTAGTAGAATGGTAGCATGTTAAAACTAGTCACTTCAAGAAAACAGTACTTTGTGTTTAGCTAAATCTTTCATTATCGTGAGAAAATGGCCATTTTTCATGTCTCAGGAAGAGCGTTTTTGCCCATTTGAGAAGTACTACAGCACACATTGCAGCATACTACCAAATTATGCACAATGAAATGCTCTTTCAAAAAAAGTTGTAGCACAAAATTATTTTAGAATAAAAATGTGAGAAGTCTAATTTTTAGTTGCCAGCTCATAAACAGTGCAGTAAAAAAAAAACTATATTAAAAATATTCAAAACAAAGAAAATCCAGAATATAGCACACATTGCAGCATACTACCAAATTATGCACAATAAAATGCTCTTTCAAAAAAAGTTGTAGCACAACAAAATTATTGTAGAATAAAAATGTGCGAAGTCTAATTTTTAGTTGCCAGCTCATAAACAGTGCAGTAAAAAAAAACTATATTAAAAATATTCAAAACAAAGAAAATCCAGAATATACATTTGGAAAATAAACCGACGAATAATATAAAAAATGAATGTTTAACCCAATGTTTCTATTAACATAGAAAAAGAGAATTCGAACCAAGCAATGCTTGGTTCGAATTCTCTTTTTCTCAACAAATTCTCAACAAAAAACCAAGCAATGCTTGGTTTTTTGTTGAGACACAGCAGCACTCGTGCACATTTCTCTCTCTCTCTCTCTCTCTTTTTTTTGTACGATGTACTTTTGTACTTTGCAGATAGTATTGAAAAAATAATTAAATAAATAAAATTGAGCACATTCCTAAAACATCTCGCACCTCCGTAGTGCAGGGCCAAGCTGTGCTCTGGCAGCCTTGTTGTGAGGAGAAGCTCTGATGCCAGTGCGTGCACATTGCACCCTAGCGACATGTGGGCCTCACGACATGTGGGCCTCGCACGTAACCAGAGTACATTTAGAATTAGGTGCAAAAGTCAACAGTTATGCACGTGTGGCGGAAGAAACCACTTGAGGCTTTAAAGGAAATGAACCATTGAACAACTGCAGATGTCCTAGGCTAACACAAAACATTGTCGCCTAGAGAGCTTGAAGCTGAGGTGCTATAATCTTCAGACTCAATGCTTTTTACGACTCAATTCAGGTGGGGTTGCAAGATAGTTTCGAGCGGTGAGCATCTTTCCCGTCTTTCAAACATGCTTAGTCACAGAAATCACTGTCAGTCGGTGAACCATTCACTCGTAGCTCTTTAAGTGAACAACGTGAGACTGACAGCAAACTGACAGCCCTTGCTAGTATGTTGAGAGTCGCACTAATCAAGTGATGTCAGACTTGTGTGGATGTGTCACTGTGATTCCGCCCCTTAAGGGGGGACGCGGCTTTGGGATCGCGAAAAATTGCAAAAAAATCTATTTTTTGAAAATCGAGTTTTCAGTTTCTGGAACCCTTTTTCTATCCGATTCCAGAATATCTACACTGAAAACCGCGCAGAAGTGCTTCGGAAAATTCGTTTCACTCACCTAAGTAGCGTGCGAAAATATTTCTGGAAACGGCAAGAAAACAGATTTTCGAAAAATTATAGCTTCGCGATGGCGGGGCCGGCAGCCGGCTTTTTGGGCTCATCGGAAAGAACATTTCTCGGTGTTTAACTTTCCCGCCTCACCTGGCTCCTCCCGTTAAACAAGCACACAAAAAACAAATGTTTGAAGGTTGTTTCGAGGCCCTTGATTGGCTGTGGACGCCATGTTGCCTCAGCTCGCCTCGCCATTGGCCCGATTCTCGCTCCGGGAGATCGTCGTCTGCTGCTTGTGCGTCGCGAGGACATGGCTCTCGAAAATCGCTACTTCTTTGCATTTTCACGGCTCGATGATCACTTAGGATATAATTACGCGTTAGTTAGGAGCCCTAAGCGGATGCGCGATCAGGTTACTACGAGCGGGAGTGCGGTCTACGAGCGCGGCACGTCATCGGAGTCGTCTTTAACCCTAACTCCGCCGACAGCGAGACGGCGAGCAGGAATGACGTGCTAGCGCACTCGTTGATTGATTGATATGTGGGGTTTAACGTCCCAAAACCACTATATGATTATGAGAGACGCCGTAGTGGAGGGCTCCGGAAATTTAGACCACCTGGGGTTCTTTAACGTGCACCCAAATCTGAGCACACGGGCCTACAACATTTCCGCCTCCAGCTAGCGCACTCGTGGTGACGTGCTTCTTCGCAAGCAACGAAGCTGTAAGCGGCGGCACAATAAGTTTACTACGAGCGGCCGCACCGGATGCACGATCAGATTACTACGAGCGAGCGCGCGGTTTACGAGCGCGGCGCGTCATTGGAGTAGTCTTTAGCCCTAACTCTGCTGACAGCGAGACTGCGGGCAAGAACGACGCGCTAGCGCACTCTTAGCGACGTGCTTCTTCGCAAGAAATCAAGCACATCACTCGCTAGCTCTCCTGAACCAGGTACGGGCATTTTACGCATTGGCAGCGGACCGCACAGTCAAGCTCGGCACCCCCCTCAACTGCCAAGGATTACTCGGAACAGCTGCTAGCAGTTTCACGTGTCGTCACTCGAAAATGTGATGCCTAGCGCAGTGCGTGCCAATTTTTTGTCATCGTAATTACACATTTCGCGCATAGTCACCCGAACGCCGCCGGCAAGTGCATAACGTGCCGGCTGCACTGTTCACGCGGCCGGGCACTCCACGGTCATATAGAGTGATGTCAATAAGCTTTTGTGATGCGATTTATACGAGCCTGGAGCCGTGCTTGGTATCGCCACGAGCATCTATGAATGTTCTGAGGCAATGAATGCCTCGTAGATCAGCGTTTCCACGACCGACTGTATGATGATGCGTTTCACGGCTAGAGTGGCAAAAGAGCATGTATGAATCAGGGGCACGAATTTTTATATGCCCATTTCGCGTCATTAAATATACTGCTGAAAATTCCTGTGCCACCAGTCTTCTGCCTATAACTTTGTTATTTGGAAAGAAGGCATAGGCCGTCATGGTGTGAACCATTTTTTTGATGCAATAAACTTCTCTCCAAATAAAGAAATGTTCAGTGAATATTTGTAATCAAGTACTTAATTATGCTACTTGCAACTTCAGCACAAGAAATATGTGTAATATTTCAGTATATGGTCTTATTCAAATACAATCTTTTCTGTCATGCTTATCACACCACTCCTTCATACAAAGAACTTTGCTTGAAATCCATACTTGCTCTTTGTAAAACATGAAAAGGAGGTTATGGGGGGGGGGGGGAGAAGGGCAACCGAGGCACACTGGTCAGAGACCAGACACATGCGAAGTCAAATATCACAAGACAAACCTAAGATCACAATTTTTAGGTGTTTTAAAGACGTAAAAAGAAGTTGAAACATTAAACGCAGTTCTCTCAATACTGTTTTTTTGGCATTATACTCAGCTCGTGGAGCAGGTATCTGGGCAACCACTGTACAGATTTTGATTTCGTTTATTGTGTAATACTCCTTGAACTGTGCTTCAGGGGGCTGCGATCTTAGTTTTTCATTTTACTTTTTAAAGAATTTTTTTATAGGGTTTCTTGTTTGCAGTGCAAGTGTGCTCATTGCAGTGTCGCTGGAGAAAACGTTGACTACAAGTTTTAGTGTTGCAAAAAAATTATCTTGAGAATGCAGCCCCTTCAACATACATTTGGCTGTGCATACAGCAATTACCAACCATTTTTGTCATTTTATAAATCCTCCAGCCCCTCTACGAGGTTCAATTGAAAAATAATTTGTTTCTCATAAGTATCTGTGCTATCGCCTCAAAATTTTTATGGATGCACGGTGAGGCCATTCTTAGTGTTTGTGCCAATTTTCATCATCATCCGAACAGAAACAAGAAAGTTCATTGTCAAAGCCACGTCCCCCCTTAAATACCTAACAGAAATCAACTACAACGTTTTTTAAGGTTCTTGAAACTCGTGTTATTGCTTACTCTATCTCGAAAATATTTGAAATTCAAGTTTGTATTCCTTTATTCTGTGGAAGCTACATTTTGCGATATTTTTTTTTCTAACCTTTTAAGCTAATAAAATTTGAGAAAAAAAAATCGCAAATTTGAGAAAATAATTATTTGGTCAATGTTAACCGAAAGATTACACCTCGCAGTGCTCTAATTGAAAATCAGTTTTATACCTCAATCGAAAACGAAGAGCAAACCAGCACTGACCCCAAAGAAGAGATGAGTTACCTCTTTGTGGTCAGTCCCGATTTGCGCTGAAGTTCCCACGTTGAATATAACGTTATGTGCCTACTGGGCCCAAAAGTTTTTTTGAAGCTTCATTTTCAACAAGAGCTCCACAACCCAAACACTTGCACAACACTACAAAGCATAAGCTCCGATGATTAGCTTTTGCAGTGGAGCTTTTGCTTACCCTTTGAGTGTCCTGATAGGACTTGTGCAACAGTTGCACAAGGCGTGGAATGGCCCCGTGCTCGCGCAGCGGTGCATGATTGGCTGGGCACAGGGCCAAGTTGCGGATCAACCCAATGACAGCCTTGACCAGGGGCCAGCGGCTTGGAGGGTGCAGAAGCTTCACTATCACTTGCAGGCCATAGTTGAGCCGCACAGAGTTTTGCGCTAGCTCGGCTTCCGGGTGTCTGCAGGTCAAGTGCCGCAATGCACACACCTGCAAACACAAACATGTTCTTAATCTACAATATGAGATAACAGTGAGCTAGTGGTGCCCACCAGAACCTTACCACTGGTTTAATGCAACATAAGTTGGCATGCAGCCAGCTTATGTGGCTGCACCCCACTTTTAAGCAGCCAGAGCATGCAGACTTGGCGCTCTATGTACGCAGGACAATTACAGCGAAACAATAACTGAAATGCAGAGTACTGGCTTCTATTAAAGCAGATGTATTCAAGGGCTTCATACGTTGGTGGGAAGAGGGGCACAGGCTGCAATTTCCCCAAATTAAAGTACTGTTTTCCTGTAGCTGGCTTCAAGTTTCATTCAGATAAATATGCTACAATGAAATCAGACTATACCGAACTTCAATAAATCTCTTTTATATCAAACTTTTTTTATCACAGCAATGCTTTCAACGTCAATGAACAGGAATACAGTTAACCTAGATATAACGAAATTGATGAAGTCTCGGGAAAATTCATTATAAAGAGGATTTTGTTATATGCAGGTTCGGTACGAAAATTCGAAAAATAAATGCGCAAATTAAACAAGAGAAGTACTGAAGGAGAGCTAACCCAAAACACTTATTTTACAGTAAAAAAAACTGCGTTATTACTGCGATAGCAATTACATGGATACACTCAGCGAGTTTTTTTCATCGCCGCAATGTTCCATAACAAGTTCAAATCGATAAGATGCCCCCGTGCTGCATCGCAACTTTCACGACTACAGCATTATACAGTCGCCGACCGGTTTTCCGAACCTGGCGGAGATAGCGAAATAGTCCAAAAAAATTGATGATGCCGTGTAAATGAAGCTTAAAAAACACGTTGCTGGGCTAATTGGTAAAACTCGAAGCACAAAATCGACGAGAATGGGAAGAAACACAGAAATAATACACAGCGCCCTGTCCTTTCTTTCTATGTTCCTTCCTAATCTCGATTTTGCACTTCCAAGTTTTAAGATCGTGAAAATGAAGTTCTTTAGGTTAGGAAACCTTAAAAAAAAAGTCCCCAATAGTGCCATGCTTCATGTTGTTCTTCGGGACGAGCAAGTTTGGTTCTATTTGGGCCATGGTAACATTGTTGGCAATCGCTGCCGCCGAGTGTTGCAAACGGCAAAGCTGGTGGCTCCATAAAACCAAGCAAACAAAACTTGATGCCATTCGCAAAAAGATGCATGCAACGTCTTGCCTGTTTGGTGGGATTTAACAACACGGTCTGGGCAAGATCAATCTAAATAGGTCGCGAAAGTCGGAATAAAAAGTGGTCTGAAACCTATTTCGACAAACATCAACAACCACGTGACGACTGAAGAGCGACTAGATGAGGGGGAGGACAAATAATGAAAAAATAATGATTATATGTTTAGTTTGAATAGTTTTACTTTAATTGTTAAAAAATTAGTAAATTACTTTAATAAACTTTTGCTCTTTGTGGTTGAGCGGCCATTTTTCATCGCTTGGTTTCAAAAACAGCGGACACGTGCAGGCAATCTTGAAACGTAAGTCAACAGATTTGGGGGCATATCCAGGCAATATGCTATCGGAGCTTGTGTTTAGTTCGGTGTGTTCTTTGGTTCGGCGCATTACCAGATCAACGAGGCATCGCTCACTTTTCCGTGGTTGTTTCATGCGTACCTTCAGAAGTTTACTTGTTTTTTTTATGTGCATTTTATAGCTCAACTAACTAACAGAATGTGTAGATGGCCGCTTCTGTGACTGCCAACTGCTTTCGCTGGCACACAGCCACCATGCCCTCGCCTTTGCTTACTGAACACGACACAGGCTAAGCAACTAGACGCTGTACTCTACGGCTGCCAAAGCTATATTTTCGAAACTGCTGTCTTGCTGCAGTGCTTTTCAACGATTGGGCAACATGAGTTGTCCAACTATTATGCTATTGTGGGCATGAACAGTTGTCTCACAATTGCCGCAGCGAAGTTTCTTGTGCATATTACAAGTATGTCATTTGACTAAGAAAACAACAATGCTTCAGTCTTCAAACATCTTCAGTCTGTTATTATTGTTTCATTTCTATCTTGCATGCAATTAGCGAGACACAATTAAGGTGCAATAAAATCACATAATAAAGATGCATAGCAGGTTAGCAATAAGGAATACAGTCGAACTCTGCTTCAACGAAATTTCCGCTACAACTAAAATTCACGATTAATCATCAGCGGTCCATAAGGAGTCAATGCATAAATACTGTCGCCAAAACAAACACTTTTTCTTCGATCATCCCGCTTCAACGAAATTTTCCGACGCAATTCCAGGCTCAGATACTTATTGCTTAGCAGTAAACCCAATCTTTAACATTTCGATGCATTTTCAGAGCCTGAAAATGTGTCAACGAAGTCTAAAACACTCGTTGGCACCACCAAAAACCACTGCTATACCGCCGCTATTCAGCAGGCATGAGTGCCGCCATTGCTCGATAGCGATGGCAATGAGACTGCCCTGCTGGCCTGCTTCTGAGCTGCAGGCGATCCGAAGCTGAAGCTCAGTCGCTAAGTTCATGGTTTCTTTCTCGCAGCTTCTGGGTGCAACTGCAGAAAGATGCCTTTTACGATTCCGATGCTTATTATGTTCGCGCTTGGCCAGCGTGGTAACTAATCGGAGCGGCTGTTTGCCCACATTATCAACAAAATCAGCTAACCACCAGTGATGGATGATAAGAATGGCATAGAATAATGCAAAAGTCGCTGCTCCACGATACCCTGCCTCCATCTCGACGTTATCGGATACTTTTGACGGCAGACAGCTGCTGGTGTTAACGTGTTGATGCAACTGTTTTTGGTTCGTTCACAAAAGCGGTTTTAGGCGCTGTTTCAGCGTGCTTTTCACCATGGCCTCGCTATGCATAGATGAGAATCACGTCGTGACGCTGCTGGGAAAGAATAGGAAGCAGCGGACATTTTTTGAATTTTGAGAATAAACGTTCCTTTGTTTTGATAGCTCAGATCAGTTTATATTTTTTTATTTTACAACAACGAAATTTTCAACAAAACTTTTTCCCCGCCCCGTCAATTTTATTGTAGCGGGGTTCGACTAATTTCAATTTAGCGCCATGTAGAGCAAATGCACGACGTCGCTACCGCTTCTGGTTGTGACGTCATATTTTATTATTACGATTTTTTTTTTTTTTTGCTGTTAGTAGTGCCCTCCTCACGTAGATGGCGAGGGTAGCAACGAGCAACCAACAACTGGATCCATGGGCTTCTATGGAAGTCAGGCTACCAGTTTACATATACCTTGGTCTCGGTTTCTGCTGGAGGTTGCTGGAGGCTTACGTACCGCACAGTACGTGAGCCTCCAGCATTTCACCACCATCAAGATGCTGCTGACGGCACCGCGATTAAACCCGCGTGTTCCAGGTCAGTAGCCGAGCACTGTGACCATGGAGTGCTACAAGGGGTGCTACTGAGCAACTGAGAACAGCAGCGAGCTTGTGACGTACGTGTACGACAGCTCAAACACCCTTGACACACTAATAACATGACCCCATGCGCAATAACGATGAGAAAAACAAACGCCCAGAAAATGAAAACAACCTACAGGCGTACCATGAATGATGATAAGGCTGACTGAAAAAGAAAAGTTTTACCATTTTGCTAGCCAAAGAAGATCAGACATGGCCTCTGAAACAAAGATAGTGTGCCCTTCCAATCTTGGAGGCCATACAGCTAGCCACTGCAAGCCAAATTTGACCAAGCCCACAAAAATCCAACATGGCCACTTTCTAAATTGAGCGACATAGATTAAAACGAAAATGATCCTTTGGCACATATCTTTGTCCGAAAAATCGGTCGCAAAAATGAATTAGCAGAATAGGAACCTTGACGGTGTATTCGTGAAGCCCGAAATATTCAACAAGTCCGAATTTTTGGAGTCCAAAAGACCATCGGCGACTGTAAATGCACACGGGCGTCCAGTGTGCACTAGTCCAAGCGTAACTAGATTCTGCCCCAACTGCTACGAACACAGATGCACTTTCGTTGATGCAATCACGGGCGACCACAAGAGTACGCAAGTATCCAACATGTACAAACTCAAACCAATGTTGCTTGCCGCTATGCTGTTGACAAAACAGTGTGGATGCGATAGCAGCTAGCAAAGGTTGAAAACAGAACTACCATTAAGCACAACTGCTGTGCAGTAAACCACAGTCGATATCATCGCATTTATCTATAGTGAATACGCTCCAAAGGTAACCATCTAACACAACCAAAGATTAAAAAGGTAGTAAAGCCGTAAAACAACATGAAGTGTTATCGCTTTCCTGTCATTCGCTCATGGCTAAGTATAGTGTGGAGCTTCGGCACGTTTATTCACGACACAGCACGCTCGGCCGTCAGAACAGAGCCGTCTGAATATCTTTTCTTGTGTATAACACGCCCCTGCATGCAACCGGCACTACCTACTGCAAACCACAGGAGAAACAAAAGAAGTACCCACGTATTATCGCAAGGCCACCTTCCTTGCATTAACGCTAAGGCATGCCTTAAAACAAACTTGCATTGAAATTTGTTTGTACAATCCACACACCAAGCTACACTCCAAGTGTTCTGTATATTTCGTGAATTTAAAAAGCGATAAAAAAACATTCATTCAGTGTGCCATCAGGTACGCCTCAGCTAGCGAGAGTTCAATGCATGCGCTGGCAGAGACCAAACGAAGGGTGATGATGATCAGATCTTGGTGAATTTTGTGGTTTATAGATAAAATTTAACAGCAACGAAATTTCCCACAGAATTTTTTAGCGTGTCTCGTACTACAGTAGAATTTAACTGCAGTTAGTTGCTGGCATAAGAACTCATAAGAACATTTTCAGCTCCTTCTTTAAATGCAAATGCATTTCTTAGTCGAGCTATGTCAGGAATCGGACATTGTCCACGACAGTGCCCACTCACCAGCAGGTGTTATTTTTTTTATTTATTTATTTATTCATACTGTTAGCATACATGCCAAAACAGGAGTTGCTCATCTGGGC